CATTCATAAAGACAGTCACTTCTTGCATTCCTGAATAAATCTGTTTTTGAAAGAATTGGTTGAGTGAATAATTTAATGACTCACTCATAAACACAGTAGCTTTAGTTCTTGAATGAATGAGCGTTTTTGAACAAATCATTTCAGTGAATGATTCAATTGGCTCACTTGTTATAAAGATTTATCGCCACCTACTGACATAACAATGTAACCTGAAGAAAGAGTAGCTAAAAAAGTCCATCACTAATATACAGATAGTCTGTCGGCAGTGTGTAAAAATAAACAGCGGAACAACTATATGCATACATAAATTAAACATTGTTTCATTGGTCCGTGAAAGGACCATACTATCTTCAGGGAGATTCTTCTGCTCTGGTTCCTCAGCTGTTTCCTGGTGTTTGCAGTGAGGCTTTACTCGAAATGGCACATAGAAGGGCCCCTCCTCAGTTTAAGCTGTCTTAAATGCATTTTATATGACCTAATATTTCACAACACCAGGCCCATTTTCATCCTGAGATACACTGCAGATAAGAGTTATAATCTATGTGTGACGAATGTGCCAGACTCATGCCTCTGACTCTGGTATGTACACAACACTCTGCGGTTATGGCAGGCTGATGGGGTTAAGGAGAGAGAAAGAGAATAAAATGAAAGAGCATGTGTGTTTGGTTAAGATGTACCTGTCAACTGGGATGACACACATGTCTGTACTCATTTAAATGAATCTCTTATCAGTACCTCAATGTCCCCACTCAAGAAACATTGACAGACGGTATGTTAACATGTTTGGTTGGTTTAGTTTTGTCAAGAGCCTCCAATAGACATTTATTGACTTTATTGAGTGGACATTATAAGAATCCCAGATAGCCTGCATGGGACTCCATTCACTATTTCAGAGAGGAGATTTTGAACTTCCTTCTACATTTTATTTGTTTTGCACAATTTATGCAGCTTTCATTAAATTGGATTCTCTGTTTCCATTCTGAAGTAATTAAAATTCTGATGCATTAATTATATATGCTGTAATTATATATATTTTCCATTATGTTAGGCTATGTGACCCTGGACCACAAAACCAGTCATAAGTGTCAATTTTTTAAAATTGACATTTGCATATCATATTATTATATTATATTTGAAAGCTAAATAAATAAGATTTCCATTGATGTATAGTTTGTTAGGATAGGACAATATTTGGCTGAGATGCAACAATTTGAAAATCTGGAATCTGAGGGTGCAAAAAAAAAATCTAAATATTGAGAAAATCGCCTTTAAAGCTGCCCAAATGAAGTTCTAATCAAAAATTACATTTTGATATATTTACAGTAGGAAATTTACAAAATATCCTCATGGAACGTGATCTTTACTTAATAATGATTTTTGGCATAAAAGAAAAATCGATCATTTTGACCCCCCCCCACACATAATGTACTTCATGATTTTATATGTAGGTCATTTATCTGAAACATTTATCTAAAAAATGTATCATGTAAGGTTACTCGTGTTTTATAATGAATTGTTTGACCCATTTTTTTTATTTTATTCTAAATAGCAATGCAATGTTTTACAAACAGGCTGTTTATTACTTTCCTGTTTCTTTTTCTCGACAAAACTTACAACAAAAGGGAAACGAACTGCTCAAGCTCTCATAAGCCTCGCAGTCATTCGAATCCCAGGAACAGCGCCAGGCGCGCGCCGATGAAATCCTGTGTTTCCACGGCAACAGAGGAGGAGTTTGCACTTCGACCCGTGACCACATCGGCGGAAATGAGGAACTAGGAAGTCGACTTCAGGGCTGATGTGGAATACCACACACACATTTGTTTAAGATGAATTAGTGTCGCTTACAGCAACTTATTCATTTTCATTCACCACAGATACCGATTGGCATAAGCGGTCATCCCACATGCAGTGGCGACGCTAGCTTGTTCGAGAAAGATGCTTCAGAGGTAAATATCAGAGGCTTGTGCTGTATGACTACAGCAGCAGTAACTGTGGGTAATGAAGCCAGCAGTGGAGCTTCTAATTGAATTAAATAAGGGAAGACCGCGGAGTGTTTTTTTTTCTTCATTAAATACTGGTTTATGTTAGGCTATGTGACCCTGGACCACAAAACCAGTCATAAGTGTCAATTTTTTAAAATTGACATTTGCATATCATATTATTATATTATATTTGAAAGCTAAATAAATAAGATTCCCATTGATGTATAGTTTGTTAGGATAGGACAATATTTGGCTGAGATGCAACAATTTGAAAATCTGGAATCTGAGGGTGCAAAAAAAAAATCAAAATATTGAGAAAATCGCCTTTAAAGCTGTCCAAATGAAGTTCTAATCAAAAATTACATTTTGATATATTTACAGTAGGAAATTTACAAAATATCCTCATGGAACATGATCTTTACTTAATAATGATTTTTGGCATAAAAGAAAAATCGATCATTTTGACCCATACAGTGTATTATTGGCTTTTGCTACAAATATACCTGTGCTACTTATGACTGCTTTTGTGGTTTTGTGGCTATATTTAATACAGCCCTTTTTTCATTCAATAGCAAAGCCCCCCCATTGCTATTACTGATGAGAGACCTGCTAATAAACATAAAAACTAATACTATTGATTATGTACTTCATGATTTTATATGTAGGTCATTTATATGAAACATTTATCTAAAAAATGTATCATGTAAGGTTACTCGTGTTTTATAATTAATTGTTTGACCCATTTTTTTTATTTTATTCTAAATAGCAATGCAATGTTTTACAAACAGGCTGTTTATTACTTTCCTGTTTCTTTTTCTCGACAAAACTTACAACAAAAGGGAAACGAACTGCTCAAGCTCTCATAAGCCTCGCAGTCATTCGAATCCCAGGAACAGCGCCAGGCGCGCGCCGATGAAATCCTGTGTTTCCACGGCAACAGAGGAGGAGTTTGCACTTCGACCCGTGACCACATCGGCGGAAATGAGGAACTAGGAAGTCGACTTCAGGGCTGATGTGGAATACCACACACACATTTGTTTAAGATGAATTAGTGTCGCTTACAGCAACTTATTCATTTTCATTCACCACAGATACCGATTGGCATAAGCGGTCATCCCACATGCAGTGGCGACGCTAGCTTGTTCGAGAAAGATGCTTCAGAGGTAAATATCAGAGGCTTGTGCTGTATGACTACAGCAGCAGTAACTGTGGGTAATGAAGCCAGCAGTGGAGCTTCTAATTGAATTAAATAAGGGAAGACCGCGGAGTGTTTTTTTTTCTTCATTAAATACTGGTTGAGTTTAACCCATAACCACCCTCCTGAGGTAAAAGTAAAAGTTGTAAATGTCGGTGTTTTGAGATATAAAATATTTACAGAGCAAAATAGGCCTAAATGAATTTAGATGAATAACAATAATCCTTATTAACAACACTATAATAATAATATCCTAGTACAATTGTATGTCTCGATTATAGATTGAATGTTAAATGATAAAACGGGTGTTTATTTGAATCAGCAGCTTCTATAAAGTATAAGCCTCGCACTTTTTCATACATAAAAAATAATAATAGTGCGACGTTGTATTAGCTACATAGATAATATTCTTTTCTTTTCTGAATGACAGTGTTTTTTATATGTTTACCATTTTTAGTTAAACATTTTAAAATTAAATTAGGGTTATTGGAGATGGTTCATATTTTGAACAGTTTGATTACCACAATAAGTTCATGGACATTTTTGTAACATGTTTTCAAATTAAGTTACAGTCCATCCCAGTAGTGTAAGTTGTAACAACAGCAATATATGTACTTGACATTAATTTATGCAGTTTACTATTTGTGTTAAACTACTTTAATGTTCAACAAATACATATGTGAATAATATATGTAAGTTTTAGATACATATAGCAAAAATAAAAAAAAACAGACTCCCTGGTCACCATGGTCAAATTGGTCGGAAAGAAAAAATCACTTTCCCAAAAACATAAAAAAAACTATTTAACTTTTTAAGTTTGTTGCATTGTTAAAGTCACTAGTTTTTAAGTTACAATTGTTATTTCTGTGTCATTTGTAATATGAATTTAAGTTTTAATATTATTTTTCTTTTTTCTTCTTTTCTTCTTTTGACCTAAATTGGAGTGGGGTGAATGTGTGGGGTGTTTGCCGAGAGTAACTTTTGATTTTTATGTACTCTTGTACTCTTG